TATTTATATAAACACATATAAAAAGATAATTATAAGTGATAAACCTATTTTAAGCATAATTCCATATATTGACTTACTGTATGAAGAGTCAATTTTAGTTATGTGTATATTTCAATTATATCAAGTAAGTAATGATTTTATTGATGAAATTATAGGGAGTAATTCAGGTTATATTTTAAGTTCTCTTGATTATGATACTAAATTCTTTTTAACTTTAAAAGATACAAATCATCATATTAATGTTTGTTTATTTGGAACAGACATGGAAGTTGTATTTTGGGAGTTATCTAAGAAGCAAAAATATAGGTGTTATAACAAAATTTTTAAAAATTACCTTATTATAGTTAATTGTGATGTATGTGGATTAGAAATATACAACACTAACAAAATCTGCAGTTTATATAACATATATCGACTTCCTTTTAAGATTGTTGATTTTGATATTAATGACAATAACTTGGTTATTTTAACAGAAAAAACAATTGAATTTTATAAAAATTATAACGGTAGAAGATAAATAAATTATTTAATTAAAAGGTTCCAACGAGATTCGAACTCGTGTCTTGGGATTCAGAGACCCAAATGATTACCACTACACTATGAAACCTTTATTACAAATAATTTAAAATATATAGTTCATTTTATATAAAACTTTTATTTAAATTTTTTATAACCCTCATTTCTATACAAAGATGTTTATAAAAGAAACAAACAAATATTATTTATTAGAAGCTCCAATGGGACTAGCTATTTTTAATAATAACAGATTATTTAGTATGAGAAAATATTCATCAGTAGATAACGCATTTAAAAACATTACTGGTATTAAAAATTTAAATTTTTCTGATGAAATACGATTATTTTTTGTTGAATACAAAAAAGCTGTCAAAGATTATGATTTTTTAATAGTAAATGATAAAGACTTAAAGGAGTATCTTGAAAGAGAAATAAATATCAGAGCAGAAGTTGATATCTCTGCTATTAAGAAAATCAAGAATGAATTTTTTAGTGTTTTTACTCCATCACTTTCACTTTACAATCAGTACGTTGTTCTTTTAAGTAAAAAATTATACTCTAATAACGAATTAATTAATCTCAGTAATATTTACGAAACTTTAGATACTACAATTAATACTAGATGTATGAGGATAAGGGAATGGTATGCGATGCATTTTCCAGAATTATCAAGTTTTATTTCATCCAATAACGAATTTCTTAATTTTTTAATAAAAATTAATAAAATTGATGGAGGTGATAGTTTAACTGACAATCAAAAGATAAATGAACTTATTTTAAATACCGTAGGTAGTAAAGAATTTACAAATGATGATATTAATAAGATAGTAAATGATGCTAGAGAAATACTTTCAACTATTGAATATAAAAGTAGAATTAAGAATCTTTTAAATAAGAAAACAAAAGAAATTCTACCCAATACGTATGATTTGTTAGAAGATTCAAATCTCATCATAAAATTTTTAAAAAAGACTAATGGAAGTCTTAATGAATTATCTCTTATGCCAAGTTCAACACTTCAGATTTTAGGAGCAGAAAAGTCTTATAATAAAAATATCAGTAATAAAGATAACAAACCACCTAAACATGGTTTTATTTATAGCACTAGTTATGTTCAGAATTGTAATAATAAAGGCCGAATATCAAGAATGTTAGCAAATAAGATATCAATTTGTCTTAAAATAGATGTATCAATACTATTTGATGGTAC